TCCAATTTATTTGCTAAAACATGCAAATCAATTGTCTTAAGAGACCAAATAAGTGTCACTCCAGTAAATTAAGCTTTAGTTGCGTAACTAGCAATAGTATACATGCACATACTAATATGCCAACAAAAACACTATCACTGCTAAACAACAATAGTTGTTTTTTTTTAATAAAAGAATAACTGCGTCATAATCTACAGACCTATCTTCGACCTAACCACAGGCTCTACTCTCCAGCACAATGGTAACCTCCCCAAAAAGGCAGACATAACAGAAATCCTTTTAAAACTAAATAGAACACTGACAGACCCTAGATTAATATTGAGCAAAAACACTTAAAATAACACTTCATTTCAACATTTCTCCTAGAGTATGAAGCAAAGCATGCTGGGAACTAGAAAGTAGCTTGAAAAAATTGTAGGCCTACTCATAGAAATCAATTTATCTTAAAGGGACCCAAAAATGAATAATTTTCTCACCTTCGTTACATGTCATGTCGTTACAAACCCGTAAGATGTTCGTTCAACTTCGAAACACATTAAATCAGAGTTTTCTGACCCTGCAGACAGCAGCATAACTACCATGTTCAAGGCCCAGAAAGGTAGTAAGGACAATGTTAAAATAGTTCATGTATCAGTTGTGTTGCTGTTTATACAGGATCAGAAAGCTCTTGGATTTAATAAAAAATATCTTAATTTGTGTTCTGAAGATGAACGAAGACCTTACGGGTTTGGAACGACATGAGGGTGAGTAATTAATGACTTAATTAATTTTTGGGTGATTTATCTCTTTAGGGGATTCTGAGTAACATAGGCATAGTATGTAAATAGTATATAGATTATTCGATTTTTACAATTAAAATGAACTAATTGTTGTACATTAAATAAAGTCAACTAAAAAGTATTAGTTAGGACATTTGTTAGTTTTTGACAAGATCACAGGAAAACGTGTGCATGGCCTCTTCCATAGATTTGCCAGAAAACCTCTTTACCTGCTCTGGAGCTGGACTGGCCAGCATGAGACTACAGAATGAGACTCGGAATTAAAAAAGGGCAGATGGGAGTTTTTTGCTTAAACATCACTGCTGTCTGAAAAGCAGATTTTCTTAAACACAACTGCAATAGTTGTCAGTCTGGATAATACGCTAATTGCCTAACACAGATGTCAATCACACTCATTAAGCATTAACCAGAAACACTTTTTTTATTTTAGGATTTAGGTTGTTAGAAAAACCAATGAACAATAATTTAAGAAATAAAGTCTCTGTAAAATAACTGTCCAGGTCTGTTCATTTGAGTGGGCGGGACCTATGCCCCTAAACTACTGCAGTAGTAGGCCTACCTTTAACAGTTCAATGAAGCAAACTGAAATGCTGTCTGAAAAGCAGATTTTCTTAAACACAACTGCAATAGTTGTCAGTCTGGATAATACGCTAATTGCCTAACACAGATGTCAATCACACTCATTAAGCATTAACCAGAAACACTTTTTTTATTTTAGGATTTAGGTTGTTAGAAAAACCAATGAACAATAATTTAAGAAATAAAGTCTCTGTAAAAATAACTGTCCAGGTCTGTTCATTTGAGTGGGCGGGACCTATGCCCCTAAACTACTGCAGTAGTAGGCCTACCTTTAACAGTTCAATGAAGCAAACTGAACTAATAGAAGACATCCCAGATGCCAGACAGTAAACTACTTTCAGAATATGATTTTAATTAGCGGATGGATAAAAGCATGTTATTGTGTTATGCTTTTGTGTGGAGCTATGGTGAGTTTTGGTTCACGTGGTGTTGCTGCATATGAGAAAGAATCCTTAATGACGAACAGCTGGTGAAAATCTCACTGAATCTCATTACAAGGTTCTTCTCACTTCAGACGTGCTGGAGAGCATATACCTCAGGAAAAAGCTAAGATCTCATATACAGCTTTCTTAAACATGTTATAAAATATTCCATTCCAGGAGACTTTTGGGATTTGGAAGATATGCTGTGCCTTAAAATTTTGTCAGTGTGTTGGAACGCACACCGTGATCTTTTTCAATTTTTATCTTCTTCTCACAGAAAAGTCCATCACTGGTAAGAAGGTGTGAGCCAAAAATTCTTGGAAATGTATAAAATGACCTCTGTCAGTGACATGTTTGAAGTTCTGCTTTTATGTAAATCAGTGGCGTGTCCTTGACTACAGTGAGATTTTAACAGCCTATTTTTAGCAGCTGTCACCACAAAGCAAAGGAGAGGGTTTGCCTTCATGTGCTAACTGTTCAGAAGTGCTCTCCATATGAACAATTTGCAAGCAACATGGTGCTGCAAAGCCATATTGCCGCGGCTCTAAAAACAAATCAAATTTCATGTCTGCCATTCGTGGGTTGTATTATCATGTGGAAAAAAAGGCAAGACTAATACAGCAATAGTAGATTATGTGAAATATGTTTTATCAGCTTTTATTAGCGTACCAAGGCCCAGGGATTTATAAAGGTTGTTGCATTAAACTCCTGCATGTTCAAAGGCTCTGACAATGAAGTGCTACATGCGCATTTTTAAAACAAATCTCTATCCTGGGTTTGAAACCTACTAAATAATTCATTTATTTGATTAACTCAAAAGGAAAAGGCTGAGTAGATCATTATTAGACAAGATAAATGCATGAAAATATTTTTATGAACAGATTTTGAGGAGGAAATGCTAAAAATATTGAATAATTAAACACATGGGCCTGTAGCAAAATTACTAAAGTGACTAAGAATTCATGTTAGTAATTAGAGTACATTACATATTTTGAAAAAAAAGTATCTAGTATTTAGAATGACATAAATTAGTAGCAGACATGTTTTATTCAAAACCAAGATTTCAGGTTACAGTTTACATGTACTGTAAGCAGGCCTATGAGGTTTAGTGTATCTTAGGTTTATTCCTGATTTTCAGTACATTTTGAACTCTTCAGTAAAAAACAAATGTTCTATCAAAGGTTATTTCAGAAATATGCTCTGCTCAAGCTCAGGCACTTTCTTTATTAATTATAACGTGGTTATTTACACAGTGACAAGAAAATTAACAGGATGCCTAAGATGATGGAAAAACAATCCAAAGTTGCTCAGTGAAGCACTGAGAGAGAGAGTCTACATGAATTTCTTTTTATAGTTTTCATATTATTATTATTATTATTGTTATAACCAATTTTGTCATTTTATCAACAGAATGGGATTTTTAAAATGAGACAAACCAACTATCAAAACATCACAGAACTCCACTTTAAATCCACTCCTAATATTTACTGATGCTTGTGCTGTTGTTGTCTCAGCAAAATCATGTCACTTCCTGGGGGATGATTTAATTTTTTTACACAATATTACACATGACTAATGAAAGTTAAACTGATCAATTAAATTAAATTAAAGCCACCCCAAAAAACCCTCTCTCTCTCTCTCTCTCTATATATATATATATATAATTCTCAGATTTAAATGCTCAGTTTTATTTATTTAAATTATGGCCATCCACATACCTGTGTAATATATAAATGTGGATGATTGTATGTTAATGTCCTAATGGTTTCTGTATCAAAGGCATAATGATTTCTTAAAACTCCCTTTTTGTGTTTAGTTTTTATAATCGGTCTAGATTAGGTAGGGAGCTTTGCATTGTGATGTTCCCTTAGATTTTTTTTTTAGACATTATTCACACAAAAGAGAAGTGAAATAATAGTGATAGGGGTGATAGTGTACACTTGAAAACTCATGAACAGTGGCCGCAATGCACAGATGCTCAGACACAGATTTCCCTCCTCGCGGTAATAATACAGACATGACTAAAATCCCTGAACATTGCAGTTGACAGAGCACCTCTCAAAGCTCCACTGCAGCCTTTTCCATGTGTTAGCTCCAACTTGCCAGATGCCAGACATCAGACACGCTTATTCACTGTCACAGAGACGGCCCTCAGATGCGGCGTAAGACAGGGGCTTTATATTTTGTCCTCATCTCTGCTGCTGGGGACAGATTTGTGCAGGAAAGAACCCCTGTGACATCTGGCCCTTATGTCAGCGGTGGGCCTAGCTGCCTAATGAAGGGACATGCTTGTGCTTGGCACTGCACTGCACACCATTTATTAACGTCAGAGAAAGTCATACCAGGGTCTGCTGCACACTTTAATGATGGTACACTCAAGCTCACAGTGTTTGCAGGCATTTGTGTGAGAAAGCTAGTCCTATCAGACAGGCTTACACTTCACGCTCTCTTGTCCTGGCGTTCCTGTAAAATTTGTTCTTAATAGAAGATGCATTATATGATGCAATGTTTCAAATATCCAGCATCAGATTCCTAGGTTTAATCGCACAAGTATTCAGTATTTTCACAGAATAAAAAAATTCTAGTATTGTATTTTTGTCCAGTAGTCTCTTTCCCTGTTTTTCTATAATAAAGTAGTGTCTGCTATAGCATTCTTCCATATCTCTGCACGATAACGTCACCATTCTGAAGTGCACTCCACGTGTAAGTTTTGAAAACACTCTGTATAAATATAAAACAATATACGACAGCCGAAACTGTCACACGAAGAACACATATAGGACAAACCAGCATACATTTTCCAATATTAAACTTTGGATGAGGAGTATATTTTAAACTACTGTTATTGTCTTCACCTTTGGATACAAGTCTGATCTAGAGGTGAAAGTACTGAAAATATTAAAGCAGGGCCTTGCAGTCTATTGTTCCAGCGCACCTGCCAGTGATTTCCTTGTGAACCTGTAGACCCTGATGGGGTTCAGGTGTGTTTGATTAGAGTTGAAACAGAACACTGCATTATGGGAACAGTTACTCAAGTCTAAAGATCGAAGCACATGTCTAGAACTGAAATAAAGACTACATAAGACTTCATGCATAGGTATGTTTCAAAGCTTTATTATGTACTGTGCAGTATAAAACCGTGTTGCTGCTCATGATTTTATCTGTGGTACTTCTATGCATTACAATACATGAGAGAACTCACTTTTTTATAGGACAGGTACTCTTACTGGAGCATTACGATGAAGGGTATTTTAATTTTATTGTGGGTGAGTTCACATTTCTCACTATTGAGTCTCAGAACCTGGTAAGCAAAATAAATAAATCAAAGCACTTCCTTTATTCCCTGTACAACATAGTTTACAGAGAGAACTGCTAGATTTGCTGACAACTGCTGAGTGAAACTGGCAGTAAACTGGTTTCAGATATAAAAGACTTATGACTAGAAAAAAAATGTTTAAATGTTATCTTTACTGTTTTAGTCGAGATGTGTGTTTAAGTTCTTATTTGACAAACCTATAGACCATTCTGTAAAAACTATTGATTGTTTTGAGGTATACGCGTTGAATCCTACAAGCTTTTCACATTCTCCAGAAAGATGCTGTTTCATTTGTAGTCATGAGGAAATTGAATTTTAAAATTTGGTCTGAGCTGTGTTGATAACTTCAAGGGCACTTAGATGGTGTTAAATGCCACTTTAAGAAACATGATTGGATGTTTTGAGATTTCCACTGCAAGGAGAAAAAGCTCAAAACCCATTCAGCTGAGGAACTCAAAGCATTAATGAGAATATGTGTAGATTTATACACCGGATTTTGATTACATACGACATTTCAATGAAGATGAGCCTTTGTGTGAAATTCACTTACTGTATGTATTGTCTAACTGGTAAATAATTTTTGAAGCCTCAGGCTTTGAAAGCACAGGTTCTGATGAGTAATATGTGCTGTATTTCGATACTGCTAGTAATGGCATACGAAGAGCAAACTGAGTCATATGCTCACAGATGTCACTGTGGCAGAAAGCACAGAAACAAGCTGCTTCTATAACCCCAAAGATACAAGAAAACTGTTGCATAAAGATATAAGTATTTAGCTGTAAGTGGTTGTATATCTATCAAGATTTAATGCACCATGTTAAACCCTCTCATTTAGCTGTCATTGAGGTGACATAGTGTAGATGACGTACTTAGACAAAATGTACTCCATCTTCAACAGCCATTTAATCCAATTATGTCCTTTTTTTTTTTTTTTTTGTCCTGTGGGATAAAAAAGATTAAGCGAAAAGAGGATATATGACCATAAAAATGCAAGAACTTCCAGCATAGCATTGTGCGTGAGAAAGGATTTAAACCTGAAAACAATGTTAGGCTCAACATAGCCTCATATTATACCACAATATGTGGCATGCCTTATGTTGCTATATTGATCTTAACACCATAATGCCATATTGAATTTATGGGTCTTTGAAGAATTCAAACTGGATGTGATACAACTTGAAGGTATCTGCTTGGACCTTCTACGTGGTCTGAATGAGCCAATCCAGGGTGAGGTCCATCTCATAAGACGCTGTTCAGATTTGCTGAAAAAGACAAAAACATGCATCTTAGCTTAGACAAATTCTCATAAATGTATCTTTTTGACTGGGAAAAATAGGATTATATTACAGGACTCTATATTCTACGTCAATACATAGCAGCTGGTCAGCACCATTTATTTATTTTTATTTCTGATGTGATCAACCGGTGTCTTTTATTTCATTTTACTGCAGTATCTAAAAGCTTTCTCATGCAGTCCTTTTTCATCTGTCACAAACCAAGTGTGACTTTACAGTGACTTACACAAGATTGATACGCAGTGGTCATCTGTGCCCTGCAGTGATGTTCAGTCAAGATCAGCTCTATTCAGATCCATGGAAATGAGAAGTTCAACACTGGTGGGGAAAGAAAAGAAATGGAGAATTTTATGTGTGGATTCTTCACACCATTATTTCTGGTGCATTTTTATGCTTTTCCACCAACATCTGCCAATACAAGAACATTATCATACACAAGACAGCTCATAAACTGTGGGCTGAAACGCATCTCGAGCAATGTCGGCAGTGACCTCGAGAAATCGCAGTTACATTGACAAGCATCTGTCAGTTGGATGCTGTTGTCTGCAGCCCTGCAATTATCTTTGGTTTCCAGAGCAAATCCCTCAGTCGACTTGCCAAGTGTGTAGTGTTACCATAATGGCAGAGAATAAGAGAGCACAAGTGCACTCCTGCAAGCAGATGGTGTCATTGTATCACTGTCAAACCTCTGAATTTTTAGTCTGACTGCATTAATTGACTCTTCAATCATAACATAATCTTCACCGCTTTTGGTGCATAGCAAAAAAAAGCAAGCATGAGTATAAATCAAATTTGTTTGTGAATCATAAATACAATTATAAATACAAACTATTACTACAATTAGAACTATGCATTATGAGCAGTGGAGCATTTTATTAAGGTTTGTCTGGTTATGTTAGGGACACCGTAACTAGTATTAGTAGGGGGGGAATTATGAGGATATAAAAATTATTTTAATTTATAATTAGTTTCATATTCTGACAAAGTTGGAAGCAACATACAGTACACAGTTGATCCCTTGTACTTTGCACAGCACATGAATGGGAATGCTAATGGAAAGATTTCTCTATGACCTCCTTGTTTCAAATGCCATTTTCCACAAAGATTTCACTCAAAGTTTTAAATGAATCACTTATTGTCTTGTTTTCAAATGTCCTTGAATCACACCAGAACAATTAACTTCCTAAAACAGCTGTAATTTGAAAAGAATTAAACAGATGAAGAGATGGGTGAGTGGTAAACTGATTACATGACAACAGCAAGGCTCCCTGCGCTCTGAATTCACAAACAGGCGCTAGGCACTCTGGGAATGTGGCCCCTAGCTCACACAGTTATAAGCTCAGCATGAGAATGGCTCGGTGCAATGTGTCTGCCAAAACAGCACAAATAACGCTGGAATCCATTATACCCCCATAATACTAATCAGTTGAACACCAAAAATAAACAGATGCTATGCAAACATGGCTCCATTTTCTAGGTGATGTGTTCAGGAGGGACTACAGGAGTGTGATTTTCACTAGAGGAGACGGGATAAGTCACAAATGCATGTCTTCCTAAAGCGTATGGAGTGCTTATTAAATGAAGAGGAAAGTTCTCTATAATGAGAAAAGTGGGACTACTGTTAATTGAGATTCATTAAAAACTAAAGGATAATTACATTGCGTCTCGCATGCTGAATTGAATATTTGATTATCGCACCATCAAAAGTGCTGCGGTTTTGAAGCACAGCTGCGATATGGCTGAGTTGTGCTGATATTCAGACCAGAAGAAGAGCAAGTGTAATATTTTTTCAACAGTTCAATAAACACGACTGTAATATTGAGTAACTCACATTTGCACACAATATTGCCAGTTACTTTGTCAATATAAAACTAAAATAGTTACAATTGAAGCAGTTGCGTTTCATTTCTGTGGTTTTGAACATCAATTAAGTGAATGATTCAATGAATTGCACTCATAAAGACACTTGTTTCATTCCTGAATGAATCAGTGATTTTAAACAAATCATTTGAATGGATTATTCACTCCTATTGGTGTATCTATGAAAACTGTAGAAAAAGTTGTTGAACAATCTGTAATATTTACTGCATAGAACAGCAAGTGCACACAATATTGCCAGTTACTTTGTCAATATAAAACTAAAATAGTTACAATTGAAGCAGTTGCGTTTCATTTCTGTGGTTTTGAACATCAATTAAGTGAATGATTCAATGAATTGCACTCATAAAGACACTTGTTTCATTCCTGAATGAATCAGTGATTTTAAACAAATCATTTTGAATGGATTATTCACTCCTATTGGTGTATCTATGAAAACTGTAGAAAAAGTTGTTGAACAATCTGTAATATTTACTGCATAGAACAGCAATCTGTCCATCTGAAACACGGACAAAAGCAGAGTGCTACTAAGAGTAAAAGTCCTAGAAATTTTGGCCTGTTTATTGGCTCTCATGGAATGCTGCTCAGCCAATCAAATTTGAGGAAAATAACTAAAGGCCTGTTCACACCAAGGACAATAACTATAGGGATAACTTTATCATTTAATTATCTATGAGACTCTAGAATGATAACATGGAGGAATTATATAATTGGAATCTCTATAATTTGAAAATCTTCAGCTGATGAACAATAAAAACACTGACAGCCATTTATAATCCATCCAACATTAAAGGGGTCATATGGTGCGATTTCAATTTTTCCTTTCTCTTTGGAGTGTTACAAGCTCTTGGTGCATAAACTAGATCTGTAAAGTTGCAAAGACTAAAGTCTCAAATCCAAAGAGATATTCTTTATAAAAGTTAAGAAAAAACCATGGCTACCTAAAACGGCTCGTTCTAACACGCCCCCACATATCTACATCACTATGTGGGAATATTTGCATAACACCGCCCAAATGTTCACGCAAAGAAAGAAGGCGTAACTTTTACTCTCACTGTAGTATTGTTGCTGCTGCCGCCATGTCATGAAGAAGCTGTGTGCTTCGTTGTGAAAGCGAAACTACTTTGTTTGGTCTTCCAAAAGAGGACGATATCCGCTTCGTCATGCCTGGAGCTGATCCGTGCTGGTCGCTGAAGGAATACATCAACTTAGTTCTGTGGATCGCCGGATCGGCTTTCAGAAACAATACTGTACAGTATGTGGAAAATAATGTGTTTTTTTTACTTTAAACCACATAAACACATTTCATTACACCAAATACACAAAATAATGTTCTTTTTAGCAGCGTCATATGACCCCTTTAACAAGATTGAGCATTTAAAGGGGCAGACACTGTAGCACGCATACAGTACAACAGATGTTACTGTGGATACTATAGTTATCTATATAGTTATTGTTCTCAGTGTGAACACCAAGAACGATAACTATAATGATAACAATATTAGCATCCACATCGATGCACAATAATAATTTTAAGTGCGCTGCAGTTATGTTGTCTGCCTCTTTAAATGCTTGAGCTCTTTAGGGTCGGGTGGATTCTAATTGGCTGTCAATGTTTTTTTTTATTATTCATCAGGTGGAAAAAGAATAGTTCTGAAAGATATTCCACCAATATCGTTCCTCTGTGTCATTATTGTTATAGCTGTGATCACAGAATTACAACAATTATTAAAACTTTATACTTATAGTTATCATCGGTGTGAACGGCACTTAACTGTTGTATAATCTAATATACTGTTATTATAAGTAATATACGTATAATAATATATAAACTAAGGCTATTATAAGTAAAGGCAGTTTACTTATTTTTCACTAAGCTTTCAGTACACTTGTAAGAGGCAGGTATACACAATACTCTATATGTAACATGAAATTGCATCTGTCCTCTCAAGGAAGTGTGGCTTTTGTAATTGGATGTTGAAGTGCTGCGGTTACGCTTTCCATGTTTTCAAACACACTACTTACCTGGCATACAGCATCTGTGCACAGACTGTTTATAAGCACTTCCTCAGCCAAATGAGACGGAGCCCCCTCACTTCTCACTGATTGGTTTTTATCAGTATGCTCCACATATCGACTGCAGAGCGCCTGCAACGGTAGGGAAGAGATGTTACTCAGGTTAAACAAATGGAACATTTAAGGAGAGGCTGGGAAGGGATATCCTACTCTCGGCAGCATAAAAGGCAGAGATATAGCTGGATATGTGGGAGGACTTGGTGTCAGAGAACTGCTGATGATATAGTCATACCCTCCTCAGTGATAATATGTGTGTCTAAAATCTTGCCTGAAGATAGATGAAATAACATGAATATGAGCACAGTCTGACAAACTGGTATTTGTTGAAGAATTAATAGCATGACACGTCTCTTTGCCTCAAACCACATCATGCAGTTGTTTCGGCTGTTTTATTTTTATACACCGCTTATGATTCATGATCTACTGAAGAAAAGGCTGTATCTTCTTTCACTCTCCTCCACGCTGACTGTCCGATGGCTTAACGTAGGTAATGATTACATCTCGCATTACATTCTCAGGCTTAAATAAAAGCTACAAGCTTCATTTAAAAGAATTTAGTGGATTTATTTTCAAATCTCTACATCGTCTGCACTGATTATTGATTATGGAAAAGTAATGGAGGCTGGATTAACTGGTCTCTTTCCATTATCCACGTTCATTCCTGAAGGACCCTCTGAAGAGGCTATAGGCGGGAGGCTCACACACTCTTTCAAGCCTGAGTCATAAAAGTCTGTTTAATTCCCATGGGGGCAATGTCTTTAAATGAGGCACTACATTGTGGGATATCAACATCACATGAGTATAAAATAAGACCACCATTTAAAAGATGAAAAGACCAACAGACTCATCATCCCACATTTCGAAGGTCTGAATGCTGCTAAGAAATTGGAGCTTGTCGATTTCTCTTTTTGTACAGTTAAGAGCTTTGTGTCCTTAACATTTGTTTGTCTGCTCTCCTGCTGTGTTAAACCCAAAGGAACTGAATTACAGGACCAGCATGAAATGTGTTAAAGCACCATGCTGCCTAACAAAATTTTAACATTCATTCTTTGTTTGGAGCTGGCTTATATTTGTCCTCTTTATTTTTAGTTCTGATGTGCTGATATTACTATGTAGATGTTAATAAAATGCAACTAATCTTAAAAATAAATAAATATAAGCAAAATTGTCAGTAGCTGAGGAAAGTATTTTATGTACCAAAAACAATTTTTTGTTATTGTGCCTTTGTATTGTTGTGAAAGTATCCTTAGTTTTTAATATCATGGCTACACATGGTTATTTTTTTAACCCAAATGCTGGGTTAAGCCTTTTAAGCCATTTTTGGGTTATTTTTTCAGTGTTTGGGTAGTTTTTGTGTTACCCAGCTCCTGGGTCAAATGTAACAACCCAGTGTTTGGGTAGTTTTTGTGTTGAGTTATTTATCGCGGGGATTTTGCGTCTTCTCTTCATGAGAGAGCAGTTCTAAGCACCATCGAATTGATGCATTCTTCGGTAAAATACAGGTATGTGTACATTTTGTTTTATCTATAAAATCATTACTGTGCTGTATATCGTTCAATTTTATGCAGAGCAACATACAGGTGGGCGGTGTGAATCACCTTTAACGAGTGTCGCGTTTTTTTTTTGCGAAAGTTGGAAAAGCCTGATGCTTTGCATAAAATAAATGATTTTGTTCATAAGGATACAGAATATAATACTTTGGATGTTAAAACATGTCCTCAGAGCTGTTTATTGTTTGTTTATTGGCAGGTTATGGAGTCACAGCATGTTTCGGCTATGAGTGAAACGCAGGGCGGCAGTCCGTTAGCAGTTCCCCGCCGAACACGACTCCAGCTCGGGTACGAGAACACGGTTATGGTGGAAACAGAATAACAGAGACTGGTCGATTACACGTGAATTACTTCTGTTTAATGTTGAATTTTTCTTCTAATGTTTGTTAAACGAGTTTAAATATAGGCAATATGTATAGCCTATTAAAAACTATATAAACAATGCTGTAAATGATAAATAAAGGAAGTTATTATGCAAACCAGTGGTTGTGTGGAGTATTTTAGAAAAGTTCAGAGGATTTAAGTTAATCTGTAAACATTGTTTAAGTGTGAAGTAAAACATTTGCTAGTAATATAGTAAAAATGAATAAACCCATTAGCTGGGTTAAATAAACAACCCAATTTGCTGGGTACATTTAACCCAAGGTGGGTTCTGTCCTATATTTACCCAGCCCTTGGGTTAAAAACAACCCAAATTTGGTTGTTTTTAACCCAGTGTTATTTAGACTGTATATTAAAAGTTGCTGTTTGGGCCACAGCTGTATTTTTTATATATATACAAACAAATAATTCTTATTATGCGAAAGAAATGTGATGATGATTCTAAAGCTCTTTTGTTCAAACGACTCTCCATCTCTGTCTCTTGCTCTCTATGTGATGACCAACTCTGTCATAGAAAGCAACAGTGATTTTCAACAGTGATGGAAACTCCACAAGTATTTGACAGCAAATTGAATGTCTTGTGTGTGAATTACAGACACCCAACAGAAAGCATCATGCATTAATCTGTTATTGTCATAAATGTATTCTTACTCACCGCAGAAAAAAAAAAATCGCAAAAAGAAAATGCATTGTGAATCACAGAAGACCAGATTTAACAGCCTTAAAAGTCCAGTTGCTTGTTACTAATGAATCTCATTAATTCACAGCACATGTGAGATCAGTCATAAACTGATATTTTTTTCCTATTAACCACCTTTACGTTTGCATTCAAAATATCAGACCTCATGCACTCTCTTTCACCGTGGAACACTGTATAAAGACAAATGATATATACATCCAAGCTTCAAAACCCTCTGCTGACATGTTCATGCTGAAGGCACTACTGTGAAATAGCAGAATCGCCACCTGTGTGCCACTGATTCCAAGACAATGCCCATTTTAATTAGCAAGCTTAAAGCCATTCAGAATCATACCAGTCCACAAATCACAATACCATAAAAACGATTTCAATAATGAATAATCCCTTTTTCATTACATTTAATTACACACTATTTTACACAAATTTTATATAACGGTTGAAGATTTATTTCATGCATACCATTAACGATCAAAAATCACAGCAGTGTTAATGCGACTAAAACATCTTTGCCATCGTTTCCATTCCTATTACCTTTCCATTCTCAAATAAGCCATCTGATAAGCATCAGTGATTTACTCATCCTTTGTTGGCTTACAAATGGCTCTCTGTGTGAAAAAACGCATCTGTTTGAGCATGCCCCTGTCTTGTCCTTAATTAGACTATAAAACATGGCTGACCTCTACAAAAGACTTCCATCCATCAAGAGAACCAAAAAAATGTCAAAATTAATAGAATGACTAATATACGCATTTTGGAAGCCCCAAGCATTAAAAAAAAAGCTTAAATCGATATTGAAAGTGTTGTGTTTAATGACTTTACATTTTTTGTTTGTTTCTGATGCGCATAATTGCCTTAGCAAAAGAAAAAATAAACCAAACAGAATGAGTCCCAACGAATATTGTGTTTTTGTCTCTTGTTGCTGTTTACATGCGGGGATCTCCTGCAGCATATTTAATAAAAAAAAAAAAAGTTAATTACCCAAACGTTCAAAGCATTGTTCCTGAAGGCCACATTTCACTCGAGGTCATACAATCACTACTTAATATTTTAGTCGTGCAATTAATCTGTGCGTAGTGTCATAAGTCTATATCATACTGGGTGGGTTTCTGTCTTCAAGCTATAACCCAATAGGATGTTTGTGTTACTTGTTAAATGGTTTATTAATTGTACTGTCACAACAAAACATTAGTACATTAGTTTGAAGTAAAATTGTTTGCTTTATTGTTTTGTCTCACTCTAAGATAGCTCTATGGTACATATAGGTGTATACTGGGTGTTTCCGATGTAGCATGACAGATTTATGCCAAATGAGAGTTTCCCACCTATATGGCTGAAAATGAATGGATGTATGGACTTCCATAATAATACAAATCAGGCAACAAGTCATAATAAACCCCAGCAAATATACACCTAAACTATATTTGAATGCATTTGTTATCATGTTTAGAGACACTTTTGCAGCTTACCCAGTCTGACTCAATCCACTGCATCTCAGCTCACAGAGAGACTGGTACCTGTTGGAAGGATCAATCAAATTTAGGATATAGATTTTGAGGCGCTATTAGTATAATACACAAAATGAAGTAAGAAGAGACAATGAGTAAGACTACAAGTCAAAACAAACGTACACTCGCATGCACAAATAACAGATGGATTGAAAACAGTTTGACAAAGCATATGTTACTATCAAAAAAGTAAACCAATTTGTGGGGCTGGACAAAAGCTGTCGGAGCAGAATATGATTTGAGAGCAACCATCTTTTTCAGCGTGTCTGGTTAAAAAACTTAGTTTAGCTGGTCAGGTATTAAAGATCAGTTTTAGCTTCTTTTAAAAGATGGATTGTTAATTGTTTTTTCTTCTTATGTGTTAGTAAGTCATTTTTGATGTCACTAGTTAACTTTATTAGCGGATTTAGAGGGCCGAGGCATTTATTTGGGGTTAGTGAGGGCAGGTTTACTTTTTGAAGTATAAATAACTTAATTTATGACTGGCATTCGCAACATTAGTTATTATTAGGGTTACCTGCTTAACGTTTAGTCATCCTTTCGAAGTCTTAATGCGTGTCAGCATTCAGTTCTAATAGTCACAAAAAAGAGTTCAGGTCTCTATGGGGCCTTCAATAGTGCTGATATTTAAAAGCATTGGTATTACAACACAGATGCAGCCTTCTGATGTTCATTAACATAAATAGCAAAAGAGGAAAATGTACTGTTGGTAGCAGAGATGAAGCATTTTAACTGGACCCCATTCACTCCTGTGAGTGATGAAACAGTGTGAATATCAGCCATATTCACATTGGCTACAGTGGTTAACACCAAAGACTGAAGGCACTTAGAATATCTTATTGGAATATTGGGACGTTCTTACCTCCTGAATCTCCATATCATTCTCAGAGTCACGTTAGCGCAGACAAGTCAGTCCGACTTATTGTTTAATAAGCTGAAGCTTAAAGAGTGTGTTAAAAAAGATTCAATTTATTGGTCTAAACAGTTGATTTCCATTAACATGTTAAACATTTAAATGACTAATCAAGAGTCAATGAACAATTTAGAGCTAAATGTTAAAAATTATTTAACAAAGTTTAATTCTATTAATTAAGCTTATCTATTATTACACAAAATGACTTGACAACGTTTCTACGGTTCCTTTTTGTGGCTTTTCTTTGTTATATAGATATCTATAAAAAAAACATATTATCCATTTCCTCAGGTCATACAGGCATTTAGTACTAGAGACAAGTACGTACCTAATCTAATTTTACAAAAATGATCTCATCTTTATTAACAAATTATAGCAACACAAGTTTAACAATTATGATCACCTATTTAGAGAAGCTTGCACAAGGCGCTTTACATCCTTTTTATTACATTTTTATGTACAAATACAAGCTACACACAAAGCAAAGCACTTGGATGTGGCTACATACATAGCCAATTGCTTTCAAACCCAATACTGATATCAAAATTAAATGTACAAACTCAGTATTTACCATCATCAAATCAAGAAGTATTACGAAATATGTTATGTACAAAATGAGTCTCTCCTCATACATTTTTGTCTTAACGCAATGTGTGGCTAATTCCATGCTTTACATTTGGGGGACAAACAATGGAAAACTAAAGGAAGGAGCATTCAATGACAAAAGTACACTGCCAAATCCTAGCCAGAATTAACGTTCATAAGGTATCATACAAAGAAGTCAACAGTTTCAGATAAGAAAAGGGACCATGTTGCTCCCCCCCCCTCCCCAAGGTTAATGTGAGTTTAAAAACATGATTGACCTATCACTTAAAAATCCCATTTTAAATTTAGTAAATAAGGTTGACGTTGTATGGAGGTCACATGATCTGGAGCACCTTTAATATCTACCATAGGGGTGATCTCTGTAGCCCCCTCGAGTAAGTCTTGATGCTGGAGCTTTGAGGTTGGGCCGCGATGATGTCCAGTCCTCTTCTGCTAAAAGTGGAACGATTAAACAGGGGAAAAATATAGAACTGCTTACAACAGTTGCAACAGACTTCATTTAAAGTATTTTAGAGAAAAATGGAATTTAACACAAGTGAATGTAGATGTTACGAAGGAGAGGAGCCTCTTTAAATGGTTGAAATGCGATGCTATGATGATTTTTATGCTTTTTTTGTTCTAAACATTACAAAATGATAAACTGAGCACCAGCTGATCATCTTACACATACATTTCAATAATTTATTTAGAGCTCCATTCCCGTATCCCATCTAGGGCATTGCATGTTCTCCTTGGTACATTATCGTAGATTTGAGAAAAATACAATGTCACATTGCCCTAATTATCAGTTACCAAAGGCAGAGCAGATGAGGCATGAACTCCTGGCTGAGCTCACAGTATGACCCTGCTGTCATTTAAATACAGTATGTGTTGGGAGCCGATGCTCCATTAGGTTCTCTGAGTGTGATCGCTGGGCCATTGAGGAAACAATCAGCCCGCCTTCAGGGCAAAGAACCTTAACCTTCATTGTTGCTAACTACCATTTCACAGAGAAAGGAGGAAAAACCATTATACATCATGACAAAATCCCTTTTATTCTGTGTAATGATCACTACCGCACAAACAGCCCTCCCTCACTCACATTATATTTAAATAGCTTTTCCCCTTAGTTCCTCCTCACTGTGAAAAACAATCTCTGCTCATTGCAATCTTATGAAAGTCTGTTTCCACCGTGAGATACGTTAAAAATAAGAAATAAAGTCACATTGTGAGGTATATATTGTTACAATTACAAGAAATAAATTCATAATTGTGAGATCAAATGGTCCAATAGTAAATAATAATGATTGATTTGCAATTGCAAGATATAGTCAAATTGTGAGGAAAAAGTCACATTTTGTTATTCTGTATTAAGTCATAAAATTGTGAGATACAGTGACAATTACAACAAATGAAGTCACAATAGTGTTGTCACATTGCGACAAAAATTCACTATTGTGAGACAGTCACAATTACAACAAATGGTCACAATTGTATGGTCACATTGCAAAATAGTCACAACTGCGAGATATAAAGTCACATCGCAAGAAATAAAGTCAAAATTGTCATACAGTCACATTGCAAGAAATAGTTTCACACAATTGTGAGGCATAAAGTCACATTGCAAGAAATAAAGTTGCAATTATGAAAAAGGAATTACTTATTTTCTTGCTGCTTTGAAACAGTTGCATAAAGCGCTATATAAATAAATGTGACTTGACTTCTCATCAAGTTGATCAATTATGAATCTAATGTGTCATTATTCAGCTCTATTTAGTTTAATGTTGTTTCAATTCAGTTTAATAAAAGGGTCAATGTTGCAAAGTTAGTGTCATTATCCAGATCAATTCAGTTCAAGTTTTGTTCTTATCTGAAAGTGTAGTGAAGTAACAGTGTAGTTAAATCAATAACAGGGGTGCGGGAAGATGTTTTCGGTTGGGGGTGCTGCGCTAGCATCACATGTTCATGAGGATTAGGCTAATCATCCCATATAGAAAACATCACAAGTAAAATGTATCATGTTTATAAAGATAAACATGGGTTTATTATAGCCCACTTACAATTTACATTTCAGAGATCATTACAAATAAATTATTAAATGCTAAAACTGAATAAATTTAAATGAACAAACTTGGCGTTGCATTTGCAACCATGTGAAAACAGGGGGTGCTGCAGCCCCCTCAGCACCCCTACTTCCCGCGTCCCTGATCAATAATATTACTAAATATTGTCTTTTAACCAAACAGCTGTGAGAAACAAAGCTTCAACTGTAAAACTTAAAGACACTGTGCAATAGGAAGTCAGAAAATCGCTATTGTGAGATACAGAGTCTCAATTACTGTTTTGGGTTTTTTTTTACTCTGAGGTGGTATGGGCAAAACCTTTCCTAACACAATGAAATCTTGGTTTCAAGCCAAGAAGTGGCAAAACGTCAACTCGTTCCTGTTAACATTTTGACACTCCACTGCACAATTTGCCACAATGCAAAATGAATGAGCAGGCACGTACACAATGGGAAACTGGCATCAGAGGAAAACAACAATCCATGCCAAGAACAGAGGGAATACTGCATCAAATGTAATCCACAGAGGGCACATATTCAAAAGCCAAAGTAATGGCTGAAAGGCCATTCTGACTCTGTTGGTGGGCCTCAGCAATGCCTCCAGCTCTCTACTGGCTCAAGTCCACATTTTCAAGTGCATCTTAAAACCCAGCCCTGAAGCAGACTAGTAAGGTAAGATGGCAGCTGCTGTGGCCTGGGCCTCTGTGATTTAACAACTGGCAAATGCCGCTAGGTGTTTTTCCTTACCTTTAGCTCTGAAACATTTAACAGCAATATGGAAAATGAATGAGGCAAAGAGGTTTCTCATTGGTGTGGGCAATGTGCCATGACTGAGTTTCAGCCCGCCTGCTATGCAAACTACTGCTATGCAAGAGGATGTTTCTCTTTGTGGTGCACCATTCAAAACGGATGACCTAAAATCCTAATAGTTTCCTAGTAAGCTAAAATAAAAGTGGATGAAAAAGTTATGTTGTTTTAGAAGAACTGTAGATCAGATGCTTACCATAATTGTTGTAGTCTTCATCATTATTACCGTGTCCATATTCATAATATTCTGAGACACTGTAGGAGGGAAAATAATTCTTATGAGACATTTTGACAGATTCTTAGAGTCAAAGTTAAGCATTAATTAGCTCATGTTGTGACAAAATGTCTTTTAAAAATAAATGTGCACCTTTTCTGCTTTTTGCACTGGTTGCTGTAGTTGTCATCATAACTCTGGTCATCATATTCCCCATCATAACCATCATCGTATCCCTGAAATCACAGAAACACAAAAGAATAATCACAGAGGGCGACGCTAGAGGACTGAATCTGTCTCAAAGCAGCACTCTAATTGTTTAGGGTTGAAAAATCAATGTTTAATTACACCACAATAGGATTTCTCTAGTAAATATACTCCCAGAGTGGAGGACTGGCACAGCTGAATCATGTCCAACAGAAAATATTGATCAATGAGTGACAATTGTCTCATTTGCCATGTTTGAAGACAAGTGGATAATGCTTAGGTCGATCAAGTATTACAGACAAAAGAAACAATAAACAGATTAAAACTTCATGATGAGATGTTCAGGAGATCCTACATGAGTCATGTCATCCATACACTTTTTCTTACTCTTTTTATTTTTTTAAGCTTTCATTGATATTGAATGAAATTATTATTTTTACAATGCACATACGGAATATGCAGCACATTAGAATCTTTTGGGAAAAAGCATCTGAATGGAACATTCTGTTTTGCATAAACAAATGGAGCACATTTGTATGACTATTAAAATTTGTTTGTGTCATCTACTGCTCCAGGTTCAGAAGATTTTGAACAATGGTCGGTGCATCCCATGTCCGTAGCTGGCAGAATTAAATCTGTAAAAATGAATACCCTCCCAAAGTTTATGTATTTGTTTCAGTGCATTCCCATTTTTCTTTCTCAATCCTTTTTTCAGAAACTGGATAGGTTAGTTTCAGAGTTTATTTGGAATAAAAAGACTGCTAGGATTAGCAAAGCACTTCTTCAGCGACCTAAATCTCTGGGGGGTATGGGCTTACCCAATTTTAGACACTACTACTGGGCTGCCAATTTCAAGGTTTTTCCAATACTGGTTAAACCAGTCCCAGTCGCAAAGCTCACCTATGTGGCTTGCCATAGAAACAACTTCATGTATCCCTACTACGTTGACTGCCCTGTTATATTCCCCTATTAATAGTTTACACTCTACCTATACAAAAAAATTTTATTGTAAAAACGTCACTACGAATCTGGAGACAGTTTAGGCTGTATTATGGATTACAAACATTTTCTATATCTGCCCCTATAGCATCAAACTTTGCTTTTCCACCATTAATGATGGACAGGACTTTTTCTCAGTGGGCAAAATATGGTTTATCAGTGTTTAAAGATTTATATATAGATGATGTTTTTGCATCCTTTCAACAGCTCTCAAATAAGTTTTTGCTGCCCAGAAACAATTTTTTTCCGATATTTGCATGTTTGCAGTTTTATCCATAATATGCATCCTCAGTTCCCTAGCCTCCCCTCTCCCTACTCCTATAGATTTAATACTCAAATCAATGTATATTGAGAAAGGGATTATTTAAATTTTTTATGACAAAATATGTTCTCTGCATAGAAGCTCACTGACATCCATAAAAACTCAATGGGAGGAAGACTTATTAGAAGACATCTCAGATGAACTGTGGGAAAGCATTTTATACAGGGTGCATTCCTCATCTGTGTGTGCCAAACACAGTTGGATCCAATGCAAAATACTTCATCGTACTCATTGGACTAAGGTCAAACTTTCTAAAATTTACTCTGATGTTGATCCTATTTGTGACCGTTGTCGTCAGGCTCCTGCAACCCTGGCACATATGTTTTGGTTCTGCCCAACTCTATATGGATATTGGTCGGAAATATTTGAGACAATGTCTCAAGTAGTTGGGACAGCAATTAAACCTGTGTCTAACAGCACGTTTGGTACACTTCCTTTGTCAGTTCGCTGTTCAGGGTACAAGGCAGATTTTGTGGCTTTTGTGTCCCTCTTGGCCAGAAGCCGGATTTTACTGCATCGGAAGTCATCTGCTCCACCTACTCACACCTTATGGATTAATGACGTTTTTAACTTCATCAAACTGGAAAGAATTAGATATTCACTGAGGGGTTCCTCCAAGAACTTTTATAAAATTTGGGGTTCTCTCCTTGGATATATGGAAACGTACACTCTCTGCATACTGGAAGATAGTTCATTTTTACATTCTTCTCTACTGTGTGACTGCTCCTGTTATAAGACTTTCAGTTTGTTGTTTAAACAATTGTTTTGGTTGGCACTAGGGATGCACCGATACCACTTTATCCAGTACTCGCCCGATACCGACACTTTTATTTTTGGCACTTATCGATACCGAGTACCGATACCGAATTATTGGGTATAGAAACCAAAAGAGTATGTATAATGTTAGTTGGTTAACTTCATTTATCAAATAGATACAGCCAAACCAAAATGTATTCAGACACCTTCAACTTTTCTCACATTATCACAGTTTATTCGCTATAGTTTAGAAAATGGTAATAAAATATGACAAGAACTCAGAGTTAAACTGTGTCAGAACAAATTCATCTTGATAATATTAGATAATTTTGATAGAAAGGTATGTAATAGATTACAATCAACCAAAATAATTCAGACAGCTGTTAGTATGACAGTATTTACACAACTATGAATACTTTGTCGGGCAACCCTTAGCCTCAATGACAGCCTGTAGTCTCCTGGGCATACTGTCATCCAGCTTCATGAAAACCTCAACATCAGTTTTTTTCCCAGACTCTGTCTGAATAATTTTTGGACCCAACTTTGTATCAATTTTACTGGTAGTCCACTGTATGAAGAATTTTTGGGTATGATTTGTCTCAGTTTACTTTATTTTGCTATCATCACTTACATAAATGAACTATAGTGTCCTGCACCCACTAGTAAAAAAATATCAAAAATTATATCTGGTCTCTGAATCATTTTTGGTTTCACTGTATATCCTTCGGTTATTTTCACACTTAATTATGCCCATTAAAATTTATTTTTCTTTCTTTCATTACTTTCACTGGTGAATAATAATTTGGTTGTGTCTGTGAGATACACCCCAACAATCAGACTTTTTGGTCTGTAAAAGATACACAGCATCATAAAATGAAAATTAATCTTCGTCCTGTGCTAAATACACAATTTCGTGGTGATGACACTATTTTGGATTGATTAAAACAACTCACTATTGGGTAAACTCCAAATAATGCACAAATGCAAACTCATAACATCAAGTATGCTGTTACCATTTTGTTGTTCAGACAGACTAACTGAAAGCGCTTCCCTTTTTTATTAGGCCTAATCTGTCAGAAAAACCTGGGTAAGCTATTTTGACCCTGTCTATTCCCTTTACATTAAAATTCTTCACAACAGTTAGGTTTTATGAGTATGAAGAAGGATTAGACTAAATTAAAGTTACGGATTATGCCAGGGATTAAGTTGTTCAGGTCCAGACCTAACACACAAGTTTCCTTCTATTAGTTTTTCCTCATGCTAATAGGGTCAGGGTTCTGTCCTCTCACACTAATTGACCGGTTTGTTAACATGTCCTCTTGATAGAGTGCTATGCATATCTTAAGCAGCAGCGTATAGAAGAAGCAGCATGTTTTACTATTAATGGCATATTTCAGAACATGTCAATCAATCTAATACCAACAGCACTCTAAGGAAATACATTTTGGTAGAACAGTGAGAGGTATTGAGTGACTGACCTACCTGTTTAATAGGGTCATTTCATCAAGAACAGAAGGAGTAGCTTTCATTTTAACATTTGCGAAGATGAAGATGTGTGCGTTTTGTCTGCTATGACATTAAATGAACGAACAGAACAGTTCAACTAAAAATGAAAATTGTCATCATTTACTCACCCCTAATGTCATTTGTTACCTGTATGACTAAGATCTTTTCAGTGAATTGTTTGATTCAGAAAGATTTAAAAGAGAAAATTTAGGTTTGAAAAGATATGAGTGAACTACAGACTGTAGTGAGGTTAGAATCTATAATCAATAATGACTTTTATCAATATAGCATTTGTTATGAAGAAACAATCGCCTGCACTTTTAGAACCAATAGCTACAACATGCCACAGTTATAAATATGTATAGGGAAAAAGCGATTCTCAACAGATCATCTAATATAAATTCTACAATCAGTTAGACTAAATTTTACACAATAAATAAACTTACAATAAAACGTGATAAATTCTAGTAAAAGTGGTCATTAGTAGTTAAAAAATATTTCAATATATGATAGTGCTGGTTTCTCCTCTTTTCATCAGTCTTTTTAGTTTATTTGCCTTTTTAGATACTGTTCGACTTTCTCCATAGCATTTTAAAGTTTCTATAAATAATTCAATTAGATCACATATTTGACCATCAGACCATCATTACAGTACAAATCATTGAATGCACTGTACAGCATCGTTTTCCTGTAAGAAATACTCTACTCTGACTAACGTCTATTCCTATACGTCAAAAAGTTAGAAGCAAGACATTCTACAATAGGAACACATGAAAACCCATTCAAACATCTATATGAAACTATTTAGTACTTTATAGTATGCAGAGGTCTTGCACATCCATGCAAACACTATGTGGCCAGGATATTACTAGTATAATAACAAAGTGTTATTTAAGAAGTCCTTGTGTCTGGCCTTTTTGACTTTAACATGCACTTACAAGGCACTGCGCATAATTCGAGCAAGCTCTAGTTAATGGTGCTCGATCGTTACATTTCAACACTCGTTTGAAAGAGCAATTAACTCTGGTCCTATTGTGCAAGCTAACAGGAAATAAATCAAGTGGTAGAGAGCACTGCAAGAGTAATTAATACAGCAGACAGCCAAAGGTCTTCAATACTCAGCTTCATTATCAATTGACAACCACCAACACCTCTTGACAGTGACTGATCTCTGTGTGGGACAACAACTGAATATGATTCCTCACTGGAGAGCAGCAAAGGGAAATGAATGGTTGGAAATGCTTTTTGTCTGTGATTCCGTCTGCTTACTGAAGTATCTTTGTCTACCACTTGTTTCTCAACCAATTTTTCAGGGCTAATATTTTCAGTTTGAAGTATGAGCAAACATGGGCTTAAGGCCAGACAGGATGGAGCAGTCTGAAATATACTGACATCCAACAGGCCATGTATCTATTTAATAGTCCGTTCTGATTTTTGCAAACGCTG